TGCTTTTTTCGAGAATAATTTTTTTTGCGCTGCTGATGCAATAAAGTGCGTCTCAGGAAAAGTTCCCCTAGAATGCAGGTAAATGGTACGGTAATTTGACCAGAATGGGATACCAAGAAACTTGACCTGCCGGTTTGCAGACAGTGGGCAATTATGCTAATGAGAGTACGCATTTCAGTTGGTCAGGTTTACCCTCAAGGTTGAGTTACTTGGAACATTTGACCACAGAACCATGACACATTCCTCCTGCTGGTTAACTAGATTTTAATGGATTATGAGAACTGGGGTTTACACAGCAGCGCTTCTGAACGGGTGTATGCATGAATCAGGGGAGTTTTGTCTTCGGTTCTGCGTAATTTAGCAGGTCGATGTTCAAGCTTCTTGTTGCTCGCCAACTGGGCGAGGTGAGAAGTTTTTTTTTCTACCAATCAGCGGAGGAAGACCCGATCTTTAAGCTCATAAAAAATTGTTAGATTCCATCCGCTCCTGAGGTTTGGAGAATTTTCCAAAATCCACCTTCAACAGCGCCTTGAGTCCGGCCATTTTTGACCCAATATTTACCAAGCCCGCAAAAATGAGGGTTTGGTGCGATTTAAATGAAATTTTCAAGGTTTCCAGATCAAAGTGTCTTCGATAAAGTCCCGGAATTACAAATCGCGAGTTGCTCTAGATTGAAAGTTATGATTTTTTGAAGCTGACGGTGCAGTTGTGTGGAAACGTTGATTTTTGGCCCAGTATTTACGGTCTGCAAAAATGAGGGTTTCGTACAATTTAAAGGAAATTTTCGGATTATTCAGTAGATTAGTAGATTCAGCGACAGTGAATTCTATAAACGCTATAAAGACTTTGAACGTGACTGTTTTCCCCGAGGCTTGAAGATTTTTCAAAATCAACTTTAACGGCATTTTGAGCTCTGCCGAATTCAACGTTCAAACTTACTTTGCTCACAAACCAGACAAGCTAGGAACTTCCCTTTACTAGCCGTATGTAGGTGAAAATCGCCTCTACCAAAGCTACAAAAACTTTTCATATTTCTCTCTTCGTTGAGGTTTGGCAATTTTTCAAAACTAACGTCAACCACGTAATCGGTCGTGACAAATTTCGCCTGCTCATGTTCAAGCCTCAGTTGCTGGTAAACCAGCCAAGTTCAGAAACTCCTTTTTCAACCACTTAATACACAAAAGTCTCTTCTATCAATGGTATAGAGACTTTGTATTTTTGTTGCTTTTTTAAGGATTTACACATTTTTAAAACGAACTTCTTCTGCGTATTTTGTCCTGGCAAATGTTGCAAGTCACTGTTCAAGCCTTAGTTGCTCGAAAACCAGCCCAGTTAAGAAGCTTATTTCTTCATCATTTCATAGGGAAAAGTCGTTTCTATTAACAACATAAAGACTCTGGATTTTTAGAGTTTTCCTGAGATTTTGCAATTTTTCAAAACCAACGTCAACCGCGCATTGGGTCCTGACAAATTTCGCATGGCAATGTTCAAGCCTCAGTTGCTTCTAAACCAGCCAAGTACCGAAACTCCTTTTTCAACCCCTTAATACAAGAACGTCAGTTCTATAAAAGCTGTAGAGACTGTGTATATTTCTCTCGTTTCGTATGTTTGGTAAATTTTCAAAAACCGACCTCAATTGCCTTTCTGGTTCACACAAATCTCACAAGTTAGTGTTCAAACTTTAGTTACAGCAAACGAGAAAAGCTGGTAAATTTCTTATTTAACTGGCTAATAGAGCAAACTTTCTTCTGTAAACTCGAAAAAAACTATGTAGATTTTGCGTCTGCCTGAGGTTTGGCGAATTTTGAAAAAAAAATCAATTGCGCCTTCAGTCCTCACAAAATTAGCGAGCCGTTCACACCAGACGAGTCCAGAAACTTTTTTTCTACCGATTAGTGGAGTGAAGGCCCCTCTATAAACTCTGGAAATTCTTCATGGATTTTCCACTTTGTTGAATTTTCTGGATTTTCACTTTAACTTTGCGTTCGGTGCTTCCAAACGTAGCACGCCGTTGTTTAAGCCTAAATTGCTCCAAAACCAGCAGGGTCCAGAACTTCATTTTGTCATTAATTAGAAGATCAATTAATCTTCTATAGACGCTACATCGAGTTTGATGAACCTCTTTCCTTTTAGAGGCTTGACGAATCTTCGCCCTCAGTCGGTGAAAGTTAAAAAACTTGATTTTCTAGCACAAGTTTCTCCCAATGTGGTAGAGTTCAGACGTTTTTTTGTGGGTAAATTAGCAGGACAGAGTCGCTTCTATAATCCTTCACCTCGGTTTGTTGGTTTCTTCCTTTCTTAAAGTTTTTTTGGAAATAGTAGAGAAGAATTAGGACTTTTACAGACCCGGAAAAGAGTTGGCTGGTTCGTTTGTTCACACCTACAAACTCCGATTTCCAGCAAAAACTTCTCATGTCCCGCATAAATTAACCAATGAATTAATAATGAATCAAATAAAAATGTAAACTAACAGGATTCGAACATAAATTGAGATGATATAAGCGCGTGAATGAAAGGCGATGAATACATGAATACATCATGAAGGTGGAAACTGAATTAGCATTAGTATGTTCATGAAATATGCTTGATTAATGGAATCGTGACCAGTTTTGCCGCATTGTTGCTGGCCTTTTGCACTAGAAGAAATCAAAAATCATTATTTATCAATCGATTGAAAAGTGGCCAGGCATCAGATCATTGATCCTGCAGCCTGCGGCTTAAATTGATCGCATTCCACGCATCGTCCTAAGAACGCAAACCACGCCGAAGGGATGATTAACATAGGAAAACCTGTCGAGATTCTTCCACATTCTCTTCAATCCGAAATTACCTGCTAAAATCGGTCCGGAAACCGCTCCCAAAGGAAGAAAGGACGCAAGCATGGCCACTTGCGTAGTGGACACTGTGTGGTTGAAAGGGTTCTCTTCGGTCTGGAATTTGGGGATAACTGGAGAGGTCCATGCTACCGATAAGCCTCCGGTAAAGGCCGTTAGGTATGCTGAAAAAAAACAATATTTGTGTCATTAAATGCGCAAATGACCCGTTTTCTGCACGTGAAAGCAGGGGGAAACCCCAGATGCGCTTGCATATTTACTCAAGCTTTAAGAAGCACTTAAATTGTCCTTAACTGGAATTCTTTGTCGTGATCTGTTCGTCTGCCGTTTTTCTTTCAATAAACACAATTTTTTGCGCACGCTTTTAAGCGGTCGTTACTCTACTTATCTAATTAACTGTCCTTAGATGTCTTCAACCTTGCTGGTCCCATTACATAAGAATCAGCAAATTAGTGGATGAATTGCCGGCCTCCATCAACCATTAAAATGCTTCCTGTATTGAAATTGTGTGTTGTTTACGCCAATTTAAATGCCTAATAAAACACACTTGGTTACTGGCTCTTAAAATTCCCTTTGAAGTGCTGTTTTCTACACAATTTTGCAGTTTTTGCAGGCAAAGCTTGATTTGCTGTTGGAATTTGGCATGTTCAGCAGGGGGATTTTCGAAACTTCGCTTTTCACAAATAGAGCCAGATAGAGGAAAACGGTTGTCTGTTATGTGTGGGCAAGCCGGTTTCAATTGCGTGCTTCCTAAAGACATTTTTAATTTTTTTCCAGCCGAGTTGTCTTATTTTGCATTTTCAATCGGGGCACTTTCAAAATGTTTTTTCTCCTAAGTGGACTTGGGTAGATATTTGTATTTTACCCCTGTAAATACGGTAATATTTGCTCCATTCGATTCAAAAGTCCCCGTTTTGTGAGAGTTTAGAAACTTTTTGCAACGCACTTGAAATTGCAGGTTTCACTTTAGTCTGTTTCCTAGGTAGGGGTACCTTAAAAAAATCGTAACGTTTACCTCAATCGCAATAAAAGAATAGTTTTTACTGTGTTAAATAGAGCGAACTTTCTTCTATCTATGCATAAAGTTTCATTTCAGTCGAAGAATTACCCAATTTTACAACTATTTCAAACTCAGTCGGTGTCTTGAATGGAGCGCACTTAGCAGGCCTTTTTCAAAAAATTCTTCACTTATATTTGGATGGGACTAGAAAATTGCTACTTTCACTGTTAAATAGCAAAAACATTCTTCTAGCCACGGGTAAAATTTTGGATTAATCGATGCATTATTAATTTTTGCGCGATTTTTGCAAACAGGCATCGGTGTATGGAACGTAGCGTACTTAGCAGGCCTTTTTCAAAAATGTCGTCACTTCCATTAGCGTCGGAATAGAAAGTTGATTGAAAGTTGAAGCAAAATCTTCTTCTATCAACGGATAAAGCTTTGCCTTAATAAAAACATCTGAACAATTTCCGACTCCTAATCGGTATATTTACCGTGACTTTCGCAAAGGCAGGCCTACTTTCAAAAATTACTAGCTTTGCTTTGGGCTGGAATAGAACGAAAGATTTTTCTTTTACATATAGAGCGAACTTTTGTTGATACACCAATAAAGTTTTGGATTAATAGGCGCTTTCTCAATTTTGTTACAGAATATTTCAATCTGCACCGCACCATAGTTGGCAGGTCTATTTTCAAAAAAATCCAGCTTCCCACCACACCGGAATACGTAAACATGTTTAAGAGTCTTAAATAGAGAAAAAGTTGCTCTATATACTCAGCTAATTTCGCCTTAATCCGTGCTATTTTTCATTATTTTATAATTTTTTCAGACGAACTCTATTGGCGCATTGAATGTAGCAAGTTGGCAAACCTAATTTGAAAAATCCTCACTCGCAACTGACCCACAACAAATAATCCACTTTCATACCGTTAAATAAAGAAAACTTTAATTTATCTATTCGGATTATTTGGCCATAATTGGCGWGTTTCCCATGTGTGTAMATTTTTTTCAAGTCATCTTCTTATTGAACGGAWCGCGYCAAGTTRGCAAGTATACCTACTTTCAAAATATTGTCGCTTATAATTGCGCCGAATGAAAAAACTGATTTTCACACTGTAAAATCAACAAGTCTTTGCTTTATCTATATAGATATTTTTCTCGTTTATCGGAGTTTTCCTAATTTTTTTACAATTTTTACAAGTCAACCAGCTATTGGTGAATTGAAGTTAACAAGCAACTTTGCACTTAACCGACTTAACTTTGCTTTGGGCTGGAATAGAACGAAAGATTTTTCTTTTATATATAGAGGGTACTTTTGTTGATACACCAATAAAGTTTTGGATTAATAGGCGCTTTCTCAATTTTGTTACATAATATTTCAATCTGCACCGCACCATAGTTGGCAGGTCTATTTTAAAAAAATTCCAGCTTCCCACCACACCGGAATGCGTAAACATCTTTAAGGGTCTTAAATAGAGAAAAAGTTGCTCTATATACTCAGCTAATTTCGCCTTAATCCGTGCTTTTTTTCATTATTTTATAATTTTTTCAGACGAACTCTATTAGCGCATTGAATGTAGCAAGTTGGCAAACCTACTTTGAAAAATCCTCACTCACAACTGACCCACAACAAATAATCCACTTTCATACCGTTAAATAAAGAAAACTTTAATTTATCTATTCGGCTTATTTGGCCATAATTGGCGTGTTTCCCATGTGTGTACATTTTTTTCAAGTCATCTTCTTATTGAACGGATCGCGCCAAGTTAGCAAGTATACCTACTTTCAAAATATTGTCGCTTATAATTGCGCCGAATGAAAAAACTGATTTTCACACTGTAAAATCAACAAGTCCTTGATTTATCTATATAGATATTTTCCCCTTGATCGGAGTTTTCCTAATTTTTTTACAATTTTTTCAAGTCACCCAGTTATTGGTGAATTGAAGTTAACAAGCAACTTTGCACTTAACCAACTTAACTTTGCTTTGGGCTGGAATAGAACGAAATATTTTTCTTTTATATATAGAGGGTACTTTTGTTGATACACCAATAAAGTTTTGGATTAATAGACGCCTTCTCAATTTTGTTACAGAATATTTCAATCTGGACCGCACCATAGTTGGCAGGTCTATTTTCAAAAAATTCCAGCTTCCCACCACACCGGAATGCGTAAACATCTTTAAGAGCCTTAAATAGAGAAGAAGTTGCTCTATACACTCAGCTAATTTCCCCTTAATCCGGGCTTTTCGCATTATTTTATAATTTTTTCAGACGAACTCTATTGGCGCATTAAATGTAGCAAGTTGGCAAACCTCCTTTCAAAAATCCTCACTCACAACTGACCTACAACAAATAATCCACTTTCATACCATTAAATAAAGAAAACTTTAATTTATCTATTCGGATTATTTGGCCATAATTGGCGAGTTTCCCATGTGTGTAAATTTTTTTCAAGTCATCTTCTTATTGAACGGAACGCGTCAAGTTGGCAAGTATACCTACTTTCAAAATATTGTCGCTTATAATTGCGCCGAATGAAAAAACTGATTTTCACACTGTAAAATCAACAAGTCCTTGCTTTATCTATGTAGATATTTTCCCCTTGATCGGAGTTTTCCTAATTTTTTTACAATTTTTTCAAGTCAGCCAGCTATTGGTGAGTTGAAGTTAACAACCAACCGTAAACCCACCTTCAAAAATTCGTAACTCACAACTAAGCCCCAGTAAATAGATAATTGGCTTTAATACTGTTCAATAGACAAGGCCTTACGTTATCTGTCCAGATAATTTTGCCCCAATGGGAGTTTTTCCAATTTTTTTCCAATCAACTAGCTGTTGGTGAATTGGAGTGGATATTTATATGGAACTGCGAAGCTTTTTGCGGGCAACTTTAAGTTTTAATGGCATTTGTTCATTAATATAAAGCTAGATCTTACCTACAATAACGCTCAGGTACATAAAAAACGGCTCCACAGGGTTTTGGGGTTCCTTCGTCGCACCCTTCGCGCCGAACCACTTGAAAACCCGCGAAAAAACCTCAAACATCTTCACCATTGTTGAACGGAATCACTGAGTCTGAGAGCAAACACGACGCCCAGTCAAGAGAGCGTCGGAATATTAAAAATGCAAAACGCTCATTAAATTATTGTCAATGGGTGTATAATTGGTACCCATTGGTAGTCGAGCCGGAATGCAAGCACAACAATGTGTTTTCCGTATAAAAGTCCGGTACCACTCGCGTCTATGAGGTCACAAAGAGTCCACCACACCCTAAGTGGCACTGATAAAAACGCGGGTTTTTTTGCACCCACAACTTTACATTCGCACGCTGTTGAATTTTTTGTGCGTTAAAGTCCAATGTGACTATGGTTCGGCGCTGCTGCCCAGCCAGAACTGGTTACCACAAGAGTCTGCTTCAAACGGTCATCCTGCTGGCTTTATGGCTTTGATGGACCCTGCGATGACCCGCAGGAGCGACCTGACCGGTTTCAAGGCCTTTCTTCAGCGTGCGGATATTTACATCAGGTGGACAAGTTCCCTTCTGCGAGCTTTCACTTGGTGCAACTGGGAAAACACACCGGAAACTTGCCGAAGAAGGCGACGACGCTTAGAAAGATTGCCCAGAAGACCTTCAACTCGGCCAGCCCGAAACGGTTGCTAGATTGCGGTCTAGATTTTGACCTTTCCTAATCCAAGGATTGAGGAAGTGGCACATAAAACAGCCGCTGAAGATATGGGCCGCATGCAGCGACAACGGCAGTTAAACAAAAGGTTAACAGGCGGAAATCAGAAAAAAATCGAGTGATAAACTATGCAAAAGTACACATGCAAACGTATGTGTGCAACGATATCCGGATCTGATCGGTGAACTTTCGCTTTGGCTGGTTTTTTTTCGTAGGGCATATTGCTGATGCTGAAGTCTTCATGTTGAACCATAGTCCTGGAAAAGGACTATCGAAAATGTTCTTAGGACTGACTGGATATTTCGAACGGTTTCGGAGATAAACGCTGTTTAACATCGCGGAAGACTTGAAAGATATTTTTTCCCCTCTCCTTATAGGTTAGGTATTCGTAGTGAAACCCTACGGGAAAAAACAGTTCTTAAGACAGACCATCGAAAAGGTCCTAAGGACTGATTGGACATTTCAAACGGTTTGGGAGATATCAGCTGTTTTTTGGCGCACCACCGAATAGAAAAAAATTTTGCTTCTACCTATTTAGAGGTTAGGTCTTATTAGTGAAACCTTGATGCCAAAACTTAGCTTTTGAGGCGTGGAATCGAAAAGGTCCTAACAACTAATTGGATATTTTGAACGGTTTTGTAGATATGAGCTTAATAAACCCCGCCGAACACCACAGAAGTATTTTCTTCTATATTTTTAGAGGTTAGCTATTCTTATTAAAAACTTATTGGCGAAAGAAAGTTCTCGAAACGTACTATCGAAAAGGTCCCGAAGACTAATTAGAAATTTAGAACGGTTGTGGAGATATAAGCTGTTTAAACACCGCGGAAGACTTGGAAAAGATTTTTGCTTCTATCTCCTTAGAGGTTAGGAATTCGGAGCGAAGCCTTCCGGGAAAAAAACAGTTCTTAAGACGGACTATCTAAAAGCTCCTAAGGACTGATTGGAAATTTCAAACGGTTGAGGAGATATGCTGTTTCAATTTCGCGCACTCCCGAATAGACACAATTTTTGCTTCTACTTCTTTAGAGGTTAGGTCTTATGAGTGAAACCTTGATGAAAAACATAGCTTTTGAGGCATCGAATCGAAAAGGTCCTAACGACTAATTGCATATTTCGAACGGTTTCGTAGATATGAGCTTTATAAACCGCACTGACCACCATGGAAGACATTTCTGCTGCTATATCTTTAAAGGTTAGGTATTCTTACTAAAAATTTATTGGCCAAAGAAAGTCCTCGAAACGTCCTATCGGAAATGTCCCGAAGTCTAATTAGAAATTCAGAACGGTTGTGGAGATATAAGCTGTTTAAACACCGCGGAAGAATTGGAAAAGATTTTTGCTTCTATCTCCTTAGAGGTTAGGAATTCGGAGCGAAGCCTTCCCGGAAAAAACAGTTCTTAAGACGGACTATCTAAAAGGTCCTAAGGACTGATTGGAAATTTCAAACGGTTGAGGAGATATGCTGTTTCAATTTCGCGCACTCYCGAATAGACACAATTTTTGCTTCTACTTCTTTAKAGGTTARGTCTTRTKAGTGAAACCKTGMTRAAAAAACATAGCTTTTGAGGCATCGAATCAAAAAGATCCTAAYGACTAATTGGRTATTTCGAACGGTTTCATAGATATGAGCTTTATAAACCGCGCTCACCACCATAGAAAACATTTCTGCTGCTATATCTTTAAAGGTTAGGTATTCTTAATAAAACCTTATGGACAAAAGACAGTCCTCGAGACGTACTATCGAAAAGGTCCCGAAGACTAATTGGAAATTTAGAACGGTTGTGAAGATATAAGCTGTTTATACACTGCGGAAGACTTGGAAGATATTGTGGTTTCAATCTCCTTAGAGGTTAGGTATTCGTAGTGAAACCTTCTTGAAAAAAAAACAGTTCTTGTTACGGACTATCGAAAAAACCCTGAGAATTTATTGGAAATTTCGAAGGGTGTTGGAGATATAAGCAGGTTAAAATTAGTGCACTCCCGAAGAGAAGACATTTTCGCTTCTACTTCTTTAGAGGTTAGATATTCTTAGTCTATTCTTATGAGCAAAAGATAGCTGTCAAGATTCACTATCGAAAATGACCTGAGGACTATTTGAATATTTCAAACAATTTCGGAGATTTAATCTCTTAGCCTTGGACATTTTCCGAAAATTTGACATTTTTACTTAAATTTAACCCTAAATAATTTTCATAAATCCCATGAAAATAGGGAAAGAGCGCGAATAGCTCTAGAGGAAAGGTTCTTATGAAATTTTCACCTACTTTCACTACTTAAAAAGTACAATAGAAAATGCGCTTTAATTTAACAAAAATACCTCTATCTCTTTAGAGCTTATGAATTTCGCTTGACACCTGAAGGAGAAACGATAGCCCTCGAAACGTTCTACCAAACTGGTTCTTAGGTTTTAATTGATATTTTTCACCGATTCAGAGATAAAAGCCGTTTTATATTTTTCCGCTCAAATTCTACTCTGATCTTTTTGTAGGTTAGGAAGATACGATAAAGCACAATAAGAAAAACAAAGCTCTTGATAGCTTCTATCGAAAAGCTACTAATGATTTGTGTGATGTTTGCCACATTTTCCGCGATATACTTGAAAAACTGCAATAATTTATGAAATACAGCTCTATCTTTTTAGAGTTTATAAATTCGCTGACGCATGATGAGGGAAGGGTAGCTCTCGGAACGCTCTATCAAACTGGTAACTGGAGTTTAATTGAGATTTTTCATCATTTACAAAATAAAATCAGATTTGTTTTTTTGTTCAAATCTCGTTGGAGGTTAGGAATTTCCGATGACGCCCAATGAGAAAAGCTAAGCTCTCGATAGTTTCTATCGAAACAGTTCCAATTATTTTTTCGATATTCCCCCTCTTTTCCGAGAATATAATTGAAAATGTACGAAAATTTGCCAAAAACCGATTTATCTCTTTAGAGGTTATCAATTCCGTTGCACGCCAAAGGAAAACATAATTCCTAGCGAAATTGTTCTAAGGACTCAATCGATATTTTTCACCCATTCCGAGAAAAAAGCAGTTTTGGATTTTTTCGCCTGAGTTCTTCTCCTATCTCTTTTGAGGTTAGGAATTTTTGATAAAACCCAAGGAAACTAACGAAGCTCTTGACAGTCTCTATCGGAAAAGTCCTAATCGTTTCTCACTTAATTGCTACCGTTTAAGAAATATAAAATAAAATGTGCAATAATTTAACAAAATCAGCTCTATCTCTTTAGAGGTACCCCTTATCTTTATCTCTTAACCCCAGGTATCTCTTAACCCCAGAGGAAAACATAATGCCTATCAAGGTGTTCTATAGATTTTGTTTCATGCTCAATCGATATTTTTCACCCATTCCGAGAAAAAAGCAGTTTGACATTTTTTTGCTACATTTCTGCTCCTATCTCTTTACAGGTTAGGAATTTCTAAAAAACGCAACTAAGGTATAAAAGTCCTCGAATGGGCCATCGAAAAGGTGCAGGCAACTAATAGGATATTTCAAACCGTTTCGGAGATATACGCTGTTTGAACTCGGCAAGCTCCCTAAAGGAGTTTGCTTCCATCTCTTTAGAGGTTAGGTATTCCTAACCAAGCCTTATCAAAGAAAAACCCAATACTGGTTATCCAGAAGCTCCATGCGACTGTTTCCACCCACTTCTCGCCTCAAATAATATATTCGCCCCGTTTCAGCCAAAGAGTGGTTTCCAGCTCGGTTACTTTGAGGTTACTCTGAGGTTACTCTTGTTAACTCAAAATGCAAGTGAAGGGGAAAAACGCAAAATCCCTAGAAGCACCCCAATGTTCATCTGGCGCCAAGGCGTCCCGAGAAGGGCATTAATAGAGCGAAATTCGAAATGAAAATCTCATACATATTCATGGGAGCTCGGAGGCCGACGGCGTTTTTCAGCTTTCCAGAAAAAGCGTTTTCCATCCTGGAATCGGGCGGGAAAGGAAATTAAAGTATTCGCTAATCAATGAAGGAGCCACGGTCACTCGCTTTGAGGAAACTTTTCCCAATTTAGAATGCCCTTTGAAAGTTAAACCGCAATTTGGCTGCGGCTTTACTTAGGCAAATAACGTCGCAAACACCCAAACAGCTCTGGTTTTACAACGTGAGTTAACACAGGAAGTAGCTGGAAACTCCTGGAAATCGGT